CCCCCCCCCCCTGCTCGCCCCTCCTCCTTTTGCTGCGTCCCTTGACTCACCTCCATGTGCTTAGGGAGAAGCTCGAGATTGAGGAAGCCGCACAGTCCTCCCAGAGGAAGAAGCGCTTCTTCTGCTGCTGAAGGCCCTTTGCTCGCAGCCCTGTGCCTCCTTCTCTCCCCTCCCTCCCCCCCTCCCTCTTCTCCTCTTAAACTCCCCTCCTTCTCTGCCACTCACCCAATATAGCACCAGTGAGCATGTTTGTGCGTGAGAAATGAAAGACACCGGCGAGCCGGCGAACGGACGGACGGGCAGGCGAGTACTCAGCATTTGTCGCTGTGCGTGTGAGTGTGCATTTGCGCCAGCATGTGCTCGGGTATACGCCCGTGCAGGCGCGCAAGCACATGCACCTGCACGTCCAGGGCCGCTCCAACGAGGAGGCCTCGCGTGGTGAGGGAGGGGGAAATAAAGGACAAGCATGGCCTCTGGCTCGCACATGGGCACTCACTCCGGGGGAGGTGTCCCTGGGGGCGTCCCGGGAGGCGTCCCTGGCGGGGTGCCGGCCGATTTGACGGCTTCGGGCTCGTCGACCACCACTGCCGCTGCTGCTTCCACCGCCGCCGCCGTCGCCACCACCGGCACAGGGGCGGCAACTTGCGGCCGCTGCTTGGGCTCGAAGCGCACCGTGAAAACGCTCTCCCGGGGCCGGGTCCAGACGCGCGCCGCAATTAGCAGCCTTTACAACCGAGGGGGGAGGGGGGAAACACGCCGTGAGGGATTGTGGCGAGTCAGCCTGGGATCATGTGGGAAAAAAACAGGAGAGCGAGAGCAAGGCCAGAAGCCAAAGGCTGACATACCAGTCGATGTTGATAATGTGTAGTCTGGCACCGGAGGACCCGGTCTCAGCCAGGCGCTTGTGCTCCAGCGCCTCATGCACCAGAGGGCTCACGAAGGGAGGGCGCTGGATTGGGCGCAATGTCAGAGGAGAAAAAAACACCGGTGCCGGGAGGATCTTCCCCAAGGGAGGGAGAGGAGAAAAAACAACAAACGGCAGGAGAGAGGGCCTCGAGCAGAGGCGAGCAGGTTCCATCGTACCCCCGGCACCAAGACGTGCGTGGTGTCATAGTCGAAGGTCCGCGTACAAACGGCCCCGAAAAACTCGGCCAGCTGCCAGAAGTCG